AAGAGTTACAGTTTCAGAAACACGTAAGGAGGCAGCTGTACCCTGTCCTGAGGGATGCTATGAACTGGAGTTGAGCCAAGGCCACGGAGTTTGCAGTTACATACTAGGCAAAGAAGCCCTGGGTTACCTTTTAGACTGCTACCTGCAAGGTTAGCTGTTTGAACCCACCAGCTGTTCCTCAGGAGAAAGATGCGGCTTTCTGCTCCCATTAGATTCACAGCCTCGGAAACGGAAGGCAGTGCTACCCTGCCCTGCAGCATCACTCTGAACTGAAATTGATGTGCTAACGAGTGTAGATTTGGGTTTTCTGTGTGAGACAAGGAGCCTGGCTGCATTAGGGGCTAAGCATTGGGTCCCTTAACTTCAAGATCCGCAGTTGAACTCCACCAGTCAGACAAAGATGAAGTCTGCCTGCTCTCATAAAAATGTAGCATCTCAGATGAAAAAAATATTTATAAATGATCAAGGGTCCATGGTGGGGTGGGGGGCGGGAATGAGCTGACACCAAGGGCTTAAGTAGAAAGACAATATTCTGAAATGATGATGGCAACCTATGTACAAATGTGCTTGACACAATGGATGGATGGAGGGATGGATGGATGGATTGTAATAAGAGTTGCCAAAGATTGAAAAACAAAAGTAGTGTCTCAGAAACCCCAAGGAGCAGTGTTCTTCTGTCCCAGGAGTTGGCTGGTGTGGGCGCGATGGCAGGGAGTTCTAGGCCATGGGCACTGGGTCAGGCAGCCCTGGGCGGTCCAGGCAGGCACTGCCATCCTGGGAACACAGGGAGGAATGAGGCTGAGCGGCAGTGGCTCGCCCACGGTCACCAGCTGGCTGGCAGCGATGTGGTGGCTTAGACCCTGATGCACCTGAGGACACAATCCACGCCCTGAACTGCCGCTCTGTTGGCTCTTTGGGTAGAGACCTATTCAAAAGGAAACAGGGAAATGTCAGTGTTGATTTTTTTCCCCCCACTTTTCAAAATTTGGAAGCAGTCTTTAAAGGGTGATTTGGATTAAACCATTTTTAACAGTCTTACTAAGCACTTCATCCCCATAACGTACAATTCAGCAATCCCGTCGTTTCCCAAGGCGTCGTACAGTTATCACCATGGTCAACTCTAGACCACATTTTCTCTGTATTCATCGTGGACCGTGTGAGTGTTTTTTCTTATTGTGGCAAAAATATACACCACAAATCATTCTCCAATTCTGCAGCTTCTGCATGCACAATTCAGTACCATTGATCATACTTTCCACGCTGCACGACAGTTATCAACTGGTTAAATATTCTGATCTTGTCCCAGACTCTGAAAATGAGTGCTTCTTCCCAGAGCTGGTTACACGCCTGTGTGCCAGCGTGAACCGTGGGAAAGGGGTGAGGACGGAGATCGCGACCCTTCGTGGCCACCGGGGGCAGCACCAAACCCTGCAGGGCACTGGCTCCCAGTGGCTCCTTTATTCCAGCCATTCATTCCCCATCCACCGGGTTCCTTTTTCCTTCGTCCTGCGTGGGGTGGGGGATGCTGAAGCCTTCCAGATCGGAACTGAAATTAAATCAACAGCAGGGTTGCCAGCGGAACTTAATTTTAGGATGGAAGTGTTGTCAGGCTGTAAGCAAGGCGTGTGTTTTCCTTTGGCGTGCTGTAGCTGTGTTTGATGTGGGGTAGGAGGGCCGCCTGGTTTGTGTTTACTCTGCTTTCTGGTGAGATGGAATTGAATCCACAGTGCTCGGCCTCAGAGGAACCGAAACAGACATAGTAACCTTTTCACATTCCTGATGGTCTGTCTGAGTGTTGACCGATTATAGGACTCTGGGGTAGGCTGTGGGGAGAGAGATAGGGCTTTCTATTGCCCTAAAGATCCGCAGTCTTGCAAACGCACGGGGCAGTTCTACTCTGTCCTGTCGAGTGGCTGCGAGTCGGAATCAACTGGATGCGGTGAGCCGGCTCTTGTGTTGAGTCAGTTGAGACAGTAAGGTAAGGTGCTTCTGGCTGCTAGTTCTCCGGGCCTAGGCCATGGACAGCCAAAAGAACACACAGGCGCGTGTGGGAGGAAGGGCAGCCTGGTGCTTTCTAAAGCAGGAGGGTAAGCCCTTCTCTTGCTCCCTGGGGCGCCTCGTGAGGGGGACCAATGCTGGGTAAAGTGGGAAATCCCTGGAAATGAGAGTGGGCTCAGGCACACCGAGGACTGTGGCCATGGCGAATGAGCCAGGAGCGCTTCCTGCCGTCAGGCATCAGGTGGCCACAGAAGGTGGTTCCTGTTTAAAAAAAACAAAAAGGCATAGTGCACCCACAGAAACACTCCCTGGGAGAGGGGGTGGCGCGTCTGGCACACAAGCGGGACCGTGTGCCATCGTGGTGGTTTGCCCAGTGAGCTCTCCTTCGTGGTGGCCCCGTGCACGGCCAAGCGAACCCCCACCCGCCCCCACCTTCCTCACAGCGGGTGTTCTGTTGGAGCCTCCATGCCCATATCTCATGCAGGGTCGTTTTGATGATGATTATTACTTTGTTTTTTGCTGCCCTTCTACTTTACCAAGCCTGGTGTGCTTCTCCAGAGACTGGTCTCTCCTGGCAACATGTCCAAAGCAGGAGAGATGAAGCCTCCCCATCCTCCCTTCCGTGATTTGTCCTTTCTTCCGGCAGTCCACGGTGCTTCCAGTATTCTCCTCCCATTCAAATGCCCCAGGGGTCCCTTGTCGCTTTCCCACGCGGTCGAGGCGATGGGAGATGCCATGGGTGGGGCCAGGCGCACCTTCATCTCCAAGGTAGCCTCTTTGCGTTCTTCAGCGATGCTGAGCTACTGTTGCAGCAGATGCGCCCAATGCGCTTCCTCCTTATGAGAGTAAGCACGTGACAATGTGCAAGCTGCCGCAAACGTCAGAAGAACCGGGAGGATGGTGGACAGGTGGCGTTTCACTCTTGTTCGCAGGGACCCGACAACAATTCCTTCGAACTCAGTGGTTCTCGACCTTCCTCATGCCATGAACCTTTCATACAGGAAGATGATTTTCATTCATTCATAACTGTAATTTTGCTACTATTGTGAATCGGGTGACCCCTGTGTAAGGGTCGTTCGACCCCCCAAAGGGGTCACCACCCACAGGTTGAGAACTGCTGTTTTTTGTTTAGTTTTCCAAATACTTTTATTGGCGGCTCTTACATCTCTTATCACAATCCATACATTCATCCAGTGTGTCAAGCACATTTACACATATGCCGCCATCATCATTTTCAAAGCATTCTCTTCCCACTTGAGCCCCCGATAGCCACTCCCCATATCTTCCCCTTCCCTCCCCTGTCCGCCGTCCCTCATGAACCCTTGATAAGTTATAGATTACTTTTTCCATAGCTTACATAGCGTCCTCTGTCACCCCTCACCCACTTTTCCATTATTCGTCCCCCTGGGAAGGAGTTCTGGATACTTGTGATTGGTTCCCCCCTTCTCCTCCCACCCTACCCTAATCCTCCTGGTATCTCTACTCTCTTTGTTGGCCCTGAGGGGCTTATCTACCCTGGATTCCCTGTGTTGTGGGCTCTTATCTGTATCAGTGTGCATGCTCTGGTCTAATCC